AAATTGACACCTAAACAATCACTTATAAGGTTTTAAGAAAGTTATAAGAAAGTACCGTACTAGGCTGTGTTGCCCAAAAGCATCGCAAACCTAAGTTGATCGTAGCTCCATTAGTGACAATGGTTCTGTGATCAACTTTGGCTTATGATGCTTTTGGGAAAGGCAGCCCTAGGCAGTAGATGCTGATAGCTTATATGTACATTTGTCTCCCTTTTCACGTCTCACTTTGTCTATCTGGCTCTCTAAATATCTAAGCGCATCAATAAAGTCAGAAGATCTGTCAATGTTCCTCTAGGAGACAGAAAGTCGTTGTTACCGACAATGCTCTGGATCTCTTTATGTGTGCTGTAATAGCATTTAATTGGGAATTGAATGAGGATGAGAGCCTGAATACTGATGCTATCAATGAGCAAACATCTCTCTATGGCCTTCTTTTAGAAATACATAGACAAACTGGTCTTTCATATTAACCTTGACAGCGGAAATATCCCATGTGACAAGGTTGGTGGCACTGCACATATATAACGCCTAGTGTTCAAAAACAAAAGCGTTTTGGAGTTACTCATTTTATAGGCATAATTATGAGAATATTTATCATCCTGTTGTGCTCATGAGAGCCCCTGGGATACAAGTGATGATAGCTTACTTCCAAAGCAAATCCAAATCAGTCCTGAGAATTATGTCTGATCAGATGAGTTGCGTATGATTATTGGCACTCAACATGGCCTTGAGTTACCGGACTGCTGACATGAGATGTGCGTGTGATTCGGATTGAACACGGGATCCTGTTGTGTCTTGATATGAAGACTTTTCAGCTTTCTACATGGAAACTTCCACATGGAGATGCTGATTTTGTATGCAAAGCAGTAAAATATACTACCATCCAAAAGTTTGGGGTCGGTAAGATTTTTTATTGTTTTTGGAATAAAGTCTCTTACGCTCACCAAGGCTGCAAAAACACAGTAATATTGTGAAATATTTTTTAAATTGAAAAGAACTCTTTTGTATTTTAATCTTTTTTAAAACGTAATGTATTCCCGTGATGCCAAGCTGAATTTTTAGCATCATTACTCCAGTCTTCAGTGTCACATGATCCTTCAGAAATCAAATCATTCTAATATGCTGTTTTGCTGCTCAAGAAACATGTTTTATTATCAATGTTGAAAACAGTTGTGCTGCTTAATATTTCTGTGGAAACTGATTTTTTTTTTCCAGGATGTTTTGATGAATAGAAAGTTTACAAGAACACAATTTATTTGAAATAAAATTATTTTGAAACAAAAATAAATAAAATAAAATGACTGACCCCAAACTTTTGAACAATAGTGTATATAAAATAAACACAAAATGTAAAAATATTTATCCATCTATCTGCAAGGCCTATGTACCTTCACATTTCAAAAACAAATAAACATTTTTCAAAAATCTTGAACACGATTTTATGAAACCAAAATTCAACATTTTCTTAAACTTCATGCTTTAAATGATTCAAATGAAAATTTCCTTTGAAATTCAAATGTGAACTGGAATTCTGCATCCTGTTTTCTACCTTCATTCAAATTCAGGTCAAATTAATGAATTTAAGTTCAGTTTTTAGTTCAAAGTAAGAAATAAGTAATTCAATTCACAGAAAAAAGGTTGTCACTGGGGTGCTACCTTTTCAAAAGGTACTAATATGAACCCTTTATATACTAATATGTACCATTTAGGGGTAAATAAGGTGTACCTTTTGAAAGGATACCATCCCAGTGACAGCTTTTGTACCTTTTTTCCCCGAGAGAGCAGTTTAGCACACAACTCGGCCCTCGTGAAAGAAGTGTACTGTACTGTCTATTTTCCAATTTATATATTCTGTCACTGTTGATTTCTATTGCAGTAGCTGTTTCAGGCATTACTTTCATAATCATACACAGATGGGACCATCAAAAGTGGGTTTGACACTTTATAATCAGCCCACCTAACAATACTCAGTGTGTCCATGTTTGGAGATTGGACCCTCCTTCGGTGGGTAACTGAGCTGGCATGCTGCAGTCAGAGCTTTGTTTGGTTTGGCCTGTCCAAGTTCTTGCTCATTGGCAGTGGAAATGAAAGAAATAGTAATTAGGGAAACGGCATGATTTTATTGGCTGTGTTTTCTATAGCAGTTACAACCCAGATGTCAGGCAGCTGAACACACCGGGGCTGGTCTGAGTCGTGATTCAAAATAGAGGATGCATCCATTAATCAAACAACACAATAGTTTATGTAGTTTGCTAATGGAATCCAGCTGAATGACCTCTTACTATTAAGAAAACCTGTTCTGCCAGGAGCTTACTGTTCTCTCAATACTGTCAATATACACAGCAGGCCACACACACAATCTTTTTGAATACAGTAAGTGAAACAGCAGGCATTATTGCACTGTACATGTTTCAAGCATGACCTCGTGTGAGTGCCATCCATTTATTTGGCCTTATTTTATTTCACTTTTGGGCAAATATTTCATTGTTAGCTTGTTAGCTAGTTAGCATGGCTCAGTTAGCCTCTGCTGGTAAATGCTGGAACTACACCACATGATTGCAAAGAGAATCTTTCTCCATTGGCTGCCAAATGATTTATTGATTAATACATACAAATATAATGAAATAAAAATGCACAATTAAGAGTGGTCACATATCTACTATAATATAATAAAAAATGATCACTATATATATTCACACACATATACAGTATGTATATATATATATATATATATAGTGATCTTTTTTTATTATTTTTTATAACCACTCTTCATTCAGTAAGTAAAACAGCAGGCATTATTGCGCCGTATATATATATATATATATATATATGTGTGTGTGTGTGTGTGTGTGTGTGTGTGTGTGTGATTGTATATTTTTGTTTTATTATTTCATTTTTATTTATTCTTATTGTTATATATTTGTATATGGTATATATTATAGATATAACATTAGTTCTTAATTCTCATCAAATTTGATCTATTTTTAATATTCATATAGATTTCCAGAAAATATTTACTATGTAAGTTTTTACTAAATGAAATTGCTATGGCAAATATAAAATATCATAAAAAGCGCTCTCTAGCTGTTAGGTCTTGTGTGTTTGAGGGTGGTTTGGTTTTTGTTCCATCTGGATTGCAGAACAGGCACATCAGTTCATTAGTGTGGCTTCTGATCTAGAGGCTGCTTTAATCTGAAACTGTAAACTCTGGTTAATTACATCCTCTTAAAGAGAACTTAATTATACACAATCAGACCAGAGGAGCAGCGGAGGTCATGTTGGTGACACATAGCAGGTGAGGTGAGAGCCATTGTGTTTGAACCACTGCAACTTCATTCACCATGTCAGCAAGAATTAATATATCAATATATAAATAAATAAAAAAACATAAGAGGGTTATTAGTAACTGTGTACCTTTTTATTTTTGTCTTCTTTTTTAAACTTTTTTATTTTTTCTTTACTTTTTTCTTTATCATTATAATCATTATTATTATTATTATTATTAACAACAGAAATTATACTATACAAACATTTTCAGGGCAGCCCAGTTCACACCAAGAACGATAACTATAACGATAACTTTAAAGATAATGATATTAGCGTCCACACCATAGACTGTATAAAAACAGGTCCACACCAGCGAACGATATCGTCTGTTTATTCTAAACGCACGCTCGTCTGCCGCTTTAAATTCTTGAGCTCGTCACAGCAGGATGGATTCTGATTGGCTGTCAATTTTTTATCGTTCATCAGCTGGAGAAAAATCGTTTTGAAAGTGATTCCAACGATATCGTTTCTCTTTGTCTTTATCGTTATAGTTGTGGTGTGTACTCTGCTATTCTTTAATATTGAGAACGATTTTTGGAACTATATCTTTATCGTTATCTTTATAGTTATCATCCTTGGTGTGAACGGGCCTTTAAAGAGTATCTACAGAAAATTTCACAAAGAGGAAAAAACGTATGCTGCGTTCAAGTCCTCCTGGGACGTTCGTACTTATGAGTTGAAAAGTCGTAATAGGGTATATGTCGAACATCACCTGACCAAGCCCAGAAAACAGGGGCAAGTTCAAGCTCAAACCGGTGTGCACCGTTTTGCTACGGTTTCTGTTTTGAACGACATGTTTCCTGGAAACGGTGTGCAACGGGGTTTGAGATGCGTTTTCTCTTGTTTGGTGGGTGTGTCAAACATGTCAGCCCAATCAGCAGCAACATGTATGTAAACTAAGCGGTATTAAAGAGACAGCTCGCACGATGTAATTAACATCCAAATAAATTCACAAGAGCAAGTATATTGTTGTGTTAACAGCCGTATTAAATAATAGCGATATCTATGGACTTTTAAGATAATAAGTTAAACTAGCTAGCTGTTTTTATTGTTGACGTTCTACTCAATTTTTATATCTAAATGTGAAAAGAATTTTGGATTTCAGCTGCGTAACAAGAACATGACCAATTTAAGTTTATATTTAAACAAAAAATTACCGTCAACTACAGACGTTGCATCCATCGATTCCGCCATGTTTCTCATTGACACGCCCCCAACTCGGAAACTCGGGGCTTAAAGAAAATTTAGAGTTTCCCACTCGTAATAACGACTTTGTGGTGGCGTTCATGTGCGTTCAACTCATAAATACGATCTATCTGACATGACTTGAACGCACCATTAGGCCTACACACACAAAAGGGCAGACAAGCAAAATAAACGAATAAATTAAATAAATACAATTATATATGTAATTGTATTAATACATATAATAACAAATTGTGTTTGTATATATATATAATTTAATAATAAATTGAAAAACAAAGAGTTCATAATATAATTAAACAGAAATATTGATAAGCAGATGAAAGCAAACTAGAAGTCATCAACGGAATAATAATTAAAAACTGTTTTTTAATCACATTTTTATTATTGCTAGTTATTATTATATGCTGTCTTATTAATATGTCCAAGCAACTCTTAAGAAAGCGGAACTACATATTAGGTCAGTAGATCTCAGTCGAACTGAAATGCGTGACGTACTTCCTCTTTGAAAGAAGCAATGGCGTCTAGCGGTAAGGTAAACAAAAACACCAGTTCAAAATTCTTTACGAATTAACCTAACTTATGTCTTTATTGTTTATATATTATATATTATGTTTGATAAGCGATCTTTAACGTACTCGTGAAATGATCGTTTTAGCGTGTCGGTTTTCAGAACGTTGTTCTTATAGTCATGGCTTAAGATGCTAACATTAGTCTCTCTCTGTGTGAGTAATGTTGTTGATTTGGTTTGCTAAAGATTTCAGTGTACTAATTATGTTCTAGCTATCACTGAAATGACATTATTAGGCTTGTATGCGGTACATTCACTGTGCAGGTTGTTGCTTCCAGCAATGAAGAGGAAACCACAGAGACTCCAGCAGCACAGAAGAGAGAAGAGAAACTCAGAAAGTTCAGAGAGCTTCATTTCAAGAGGGTAACTACGGCAAAGTTTACCTCGCATCAGCGGAATCCATGAGCCCTGCACCCTCAGATTCCAGATTTTCAAATAGTTGTATCTCAGCCAAATATTGTCCTGTCCTAACAAATCATACATCAATAGAAAGCTTATGATGTCAATGATAATTGACCCTTATGACTGGTTTTGTGCTCCAGGGTCACATTTA